AACTCCCTGGAATTCGCGAGCGGAGTTCGCTCGGCCGGCTCCCGCCAAGGAGTTCGCGAAGGGGTACGACGAACTCGTGGAACTTCAACGCGCGGCGAGTGCAGTGGCCTTCCAGAATCTCCAATCCGCGTACGGCATCACTGTGAACGAGTTCTCGTTGATGGCCGACGTCGAACTCCGACGCGTTTGCTCGCTGGACATGTACACGCGCGACCCGATGCACATCATCCTGGCGAGCGGAGGCACGTTCCAGGTGGAGGTGTTCTGCCTGCACAAAGCAGTGGCGCGCGTGATTCCAGACGTGTGGGATCGGTGGCGAACCGATTTCCAGCGCTGGGCTCCAGGCCGCGGCGGAGGGAAAGCTCCCGTGCATCTCTTCTCCCCTGCCAGGAAGAAAGCCTGCGTCGAGGCAGGGCATTTCGTCGGCTCCGCGTCGGACTGCCTCGCCGTCCTGCCGTTCCTCAGGAACTGGCTGCACGTGGATTTCTTGCCGCATCACGCGCCGTTCCTGCCCCAGGCGCGGTCCTTTGAGGCCATGTATGCCGTCATGGAACTGTACCTGGCGGCGAAACGCGGCGGCTGCCCAGACACGTTCGATGTTGATTTCAAGCGCCATGTCGGGTTGGCGCTCAGGAAACACGTGCGGGCCTACACGGACGCGTGGATCGTGCCTAAGCATCATTATCTTTGGCACGCAGCTGTGCAGGCGGCGGAGGATGGGTTGATGCTCGACTGTTTCGTGCTCGAACGAAAACACAAGCTCATCAAGGACACCGCGGAGCACTACGACCGCTTGGGCGGCATGGACAAGGATGTGATCACCCAAGTTGTGGCTACGTACTTGCACGAGTCCTCGGCCGCGCCGCGCCAGTCGCACAAATGGTGGCCGACCCCTGAGCTCGACGGGATCATCGGGCAGCGCGGTTGGGGCCAAATGGGCTTTGGTGCACGCGCGAGCCTCCACGGGGGGCGCGCCTGCGGGGGCGCCTCTCGGGGCAACGCCGAGGCTCGCACGTGCACCAGGGCCTATCCAGGCACGGCGCCATCACTTGTCGTCGAGCTGCTGTCGGCGGCCTCGTCTACGGCAGCGGGGACGTGTGGCTCGAGGGCGACGCCGCGTTCCACGTCCACTGCGTGGCGGTGGCCGCGGGGCGCTCCTACCTCATCGTGGAGCCGCTGGACCTGGCGTCGCGGCCTGCGCCTGGGGAGTCCGCGTGGCGGCCACGAGGAGGACCGAGCTGTGCAAGGAGGAGGGAGGGGGAGGAGGGGAGGGAGGGGGAGGAGGAGGAACAGGGGGACGAGGAGGAGGGGAGGAGGAGGGGGACGAGGAAGGAGAGGAGGAGGAGGAGGAGGAGGAGGAGGGGGACGAGGAGGATGGGATGGCCCACTACGCCGCCGCCCCATAGGATGCGGCGCGCTGGCTGCTGAGGACGCCCCGCGGGCGCCTGCGGCGTACGCCCGCCGAGCCGAGGACGGCTCGGTCCGCGCGCTGGTGTAAAACGCGCGCGCGCGGCGGTGCACCGCCTGGCGGTGGGCCGCCTGTTGTAAAAAATCACGTTCGCGCGGCGGTAGCCCGCCTGGCGGCATCCCGCCTGGGGAAAAGGAGGGACGGAGAGGAGGGGAACGGGAGCGGGGCCCCGCAGGCTGCACGGATCGATGGCGACGCCGACGCGTTTTTGAAAGCGCCCCCGCCCCCCATTTTCCATACGAAAAAGCAGACTTATCGGACTTATAAATTAGATATAAGTTACATATAAGTAAGATATAAGTAAACTAGTTTTGATGAAGATGCTAGATATAAGTAAGAAGAAGTAACATACATGCAGCATGTAACATACGTCAACGCCATCACCAAAGCCTCGGGAGCCTCAAGAGACGACACTCCGGATGAAGAGCCGGTCCCGGGGAAGGGGTCCAGACCTCTGGGGGCCCAGACCTCTGGGGTGAGACAGGCACGACGTCGGGGTCTCGGGGCAGGGGCGGCCGCCGAGCGGCTTCGGCTCGACGCCCCCTCGCCGCGAAGTGGGGGCCACTGCACGAGCGCAGACCGTCGGAGCTCCCTGCGGAGCCCCTGCAGTCGGTGCCTGACCGCCCCCTGCCGGCGCCTCCTGGCGCCGCTCCTGAGGCGCGCCGATCCGAGAAGCTCGCGCTGAGCTCTGACAGCCTACGCGCACGGGAGAGGCGTGCCGTGCCAACTCGGCGAGGACCGCACCGGAGGTGTTCCAGGTCGGACGCCACCAGCGGCCATGTCCTGCAGTTTTGAACGGTCTGCGCGTTCGGGGGGCCGCGATTGTCCAAGGTTGGGCGATCCACGCAGTGTCAGAAACCAGCGCCGATGTCGTCACGACGCGAACCCAGATCTCCCACGTCGCCATTTTCTCGCAACGCCGACCCCTGAGGTCTGGACCCCTTCCGCAGGACCGCTTTTTTCCGTCCCGGGCTGGCTGCGCGGCTGGGGTCCTTGCATAGGCATGGGTCGACTTCACGTGAGAGTGGCATTTCGCCGGAGTGACCTCTGGTGCGGGCCCACCAGGGTCCCCCGATCGCCAAACGCGGCGCGATAGTAGCATCTTGCCCGCCTGTGTTTGGACCCCTCGCTCCCCCCAAAGCCGCGCACAAAAAGTCCCCTCTAACCGCGTGTCGTCGAGTGGGCCCCGCGAGGGCCCCCAGAGGCCGAAAACGGCCACCCAAACCGTCCGCCGTGCTTTTCTCTCAACAAGAGAATGCGGGGGAACCTGCCTTCGGTAGCAGATCATGGGAGCTTTGTGTACCCTTCTCATAATTCCATTTTCAGCATCGACTAGCGTCGATCAGCGTCTGGTAGTCGATGAGATAGCGCCGACTCAGCACCGATCCAGCGTCTGTCCGCACGGGCCGACACAGATGGTATGGGAGGCTCCCTCGAGTTGCCACCGAACTCCTCTTCCTTCTCCTCCTCCTCCTTCTCCTCCTCCGCCTCCTCCGCCTCCTCCGCCTCCTCGGCGTCCTCCTCCTCCTCCGCCTCCTCCTCCTCCTCCTCCGCCTCCTCCTCCTCCTCCTCCTCCTCATCTGCGCCCCCCCCCTCATCCTCCTCCTCCTCCTCCGCCTCCTCCTCCTCCGCCGCACACTGTTGCGCCGTGTGCGGCGCTTGTCCTCCTTCCGCTCCTCGTGGCGCGCGCGCGCGCGCCCCGCTTGGGGGGCAGAGGCTCGCCCCGCGCGCGCGGGCGGCCGCGGAGCGGCGGGGGCGGCGGGCCGGGGGCAGCATCCGCAGCGCCTGCTGCGAGGCCGAGGGCGCAGCCGGGCGTCGCCCGGGGGGCCCCACCGCCGTCCTCAGCCCGGCCGGCAGGCCCCGGACACCCCTCGGGCAAGGAGGAGCTCCTGACGGGCGGTGTTCCCCCTCTTCGGCCTCTGAAGGCCCCCGCTGGCCCTCGGGAGCGGCAGAATCCGACGCAGGATATGGAAAGAAAGCCGGTCCAGGGGAGTGGGTCGAGATCTCTGAGGGTCGGCGTTGTGAAAACACCATGACGTCGGGGGGCTGGGAAGCAGGGTCCTATGCTCACCATCGCCGTTCGGCCTGTCCGTCTCCCACCCCTTCTCCCCGTCCTCCCCGCAGTGGACGACAACTTGACCCGCGCGGGGCGACGGAGGACCCCGGACAAGAGCAGGGGCGGCCATCCCCCCACGCAGAGCTCATGGCCCCGGGGACCCACGGCGGGCTTGTGGGGCCGAAACCGCGGAAAACACGCCCTGACCTAGAGCATCACATCCTCACCCCTCCTCGCACCCCCCCCCCTACTGGCCTGGAAGGGCGGCCCCGCGCCCCTCTGCAGCGCAGGCCCCCCCGCGGCCCGCCGACGGCCGCCTCCGCTCCCGCGCGCGGGAGGCCCTCTGCGCATGCTGCCGCCCGCACCGCGGGGGCGCGGTGCGCGGACCCGTGGCCCGCGGAAGGGAGGTTTAGCCGTCAGGGAGGGCGGGCCCCCCCCCCCCAGTCGGAGAGGGGACCCAGTCAGTGATGGGGCCCCAGAGCCTCGCAATAAGCCAGAGTCACGAAACCAGGTCTGCCGCAGCTGGTGCTTTTCGGGTGACGGCAGGTCTGGTTAGTGGAATGGGGCCGGGGTGGCGTCCCCCAGTACACATCACTAAACCAGGTCCCACAAAACCCAGTTCTGCCAACGCCCGACCCAGGTCGGGGGCCCCAAAACGGTGCGGTGACCACGCCGTGTAGTGCGTCGGTGGGGATCTGGGGTCCTCGCACGGTTCTGGGACTCGGGTCGCTCTCCAGGGACTTTTCTCGTGCGATCGGGGCCTCCGGGGTCCCAAAGCCGTGCGGTGACGGACCCTGCGGTGAGGTCTCTGCGGATTTCGAGGTCGCCGCCGGGTCTGTCACCACACGGTTCTGGGACCCCCGACCAGGGGCAGCGATGGGGGTGATGGGCACAGGGGGGAGGGGAGCATCGACCCCCAAACGCCCATTCATCGCCCCTGTTTCGCCCCCCCCCTACGCCAGTCACCTATCGCTGCCCCCCCTCCGTCCTCATTCAGGGTGTGTGTGGGAGGGGGGGAACAGTGCTCCTGGCGGCGAGAGATTTCTGATTCTGCCCCCGCGGGTACGGAACTGCCTTTATGCATCCCGAATGCTTCTTCAAAATTCTTGGACTGGCATTGAACCGCCACGTTGCGAACGAGAATGCGACGGACGGTTCTCGACTGTCGTCGCCCTGCGGGGCCCTCTCTGGACCCGGGGACCGTCCAAAAAACGACCCATGATGAAAGCCCCGTTCTTGGAAGGGGATCCAGATCTCGGGGGGCTTCCGCTGTGGAAAAATCAAGGCGTCGATGTTCTTTGAGGGGGCCCAGGTAGTTTGGGCTTAGGTACGATCAAAAACGGTTCTGGGGTAAACAACTTGCCCTTGCGAAGAAAGGGGTCGGGATCTCTCGGAGGCCGCGCATGTTTGCTGAAACATCGTCGCATGTCTGGGTATCTGCCATCACTCTTTGACGGGGGTGCCGCCGCGATAGTCATTGTCCGGTCTCTGGATGTTGGCGCAAGCACGGCACTCGTAGAATTGACCTGAGTTCGCCCCGCTCTCTTTCCATTGGCCCATGAATGACGTGCGTCTCCTGCGATGCAAAACAGCATAGCAGAAGCAATCCGCCCCACATCTCGTTTTGTCACAGCGGCCATCAAGAAGTGCAGGAGCACCGCAAAGTGGAGCGCAGCGCTAAGCCTGCTCAGAGAGGCGTCGCAGCTGCAGGTGCGGCTTGACACCATCCTGTATACCGTTGCCATCGGCGTGTGCGGGGAGGGCAGGCAGTGGCAGTTGGCGCTGATGCTGCTTGGCGAACTGTGCGATGCCAGGCTGGGGCCGGACGTTATCAGCTGCAACGCCGGGATCAGCGCGTGCGAAAAGGGTGGGCAATGGAGGCAGGCGTTGTCGCTGCTCGATGGCATGCTTGCCGCGATGTTGGAGCCCGACGTCATCTTGCCTAGAATTCCGGTCAATGTGCGTCCCAGGAGGGCCCACTGAGGGCCCCCTCTGTGCGGCGTCTCTGCGGCTCCGCTCCTGGGGCGCCCAGCGTCATGCTCCGAGGGGGCCCCGCGATTGGCCCGAACGGCCCCAAGGGCGCCCGCAGCGCGAGGGGAGATCCCAGACGGCCCGAGAAGGCCTCCACCACGTTGCACAGAGTCTCCACCAGGCCTCCGAGGGCGCCACGAGGACGAAAGACTATAGATATCCTTCAGGTGTTCTCGCGCTTCCCCTCAAGATCGCTGTTCTGGCAAACAGGCGCCCAACCCACCCAGAGCAAGATCTCAATCGCCCCCCAGGGCGCCCAGGGAGCTCCCAAGAGAGCCTCTGCCACGGCCCTGGGGCCCTTCCAGACGGCTCCAGGGATGCTGAAGATTACCGAACAGCCCCCCAGGACGGCCCCGAGGAAGGCCCAACAGTCAAGCAGTGGCGAAGCGTCCTGGCTCGCCTATAGCTCTACCAAGCAATGTTCTACGAACCTTTTGTGGTTCCCACGGGATGTTCTTAGAACATTTCTGGCGGAGTCTGCCTTGCTTTATCACATCGGGTTCATGCTCTGAGAACATTGTTTTTGCTATTATAACATTCTTGGGTTCTAAGAACATGTCGTGGTATGACTACAGGAATGCCGGGACGGTCGGCCCTTGCTCAAAACAGGGTCAACTCTGGAGCGCTCCCCCCCATCCCGCCCTCCCCCACGGCCAGCAGGCCTCGAAGACGCCCGCCCCGAGGCTCCCAGACGGCCTGGGGGACGCTCCCCAGAGGCTTCCAGGAAGCTTCCAGCAGCTCCCTCGAGCCAGCTCCGACATGCTCTCACAATGCTCCTGATCAGCTCAAGACGCGATGCCCCACGGGCTCCTGGAAGGCCTCCAGCCACTCCCTCCAAACGGCTCCGACAGGCTCCTAGGAAGAACCTGCTGATTCGAAAAAGCCACACCCGACGGCTCTTGGGACACGTCTCGTGCGAAAGGGGTTTCAGAAAATACCTGTCCGATCCAGCCGCAGAAGCCCGGGATCGGTGTCTCTGCGACCCCTCCCGCGCCGAGCGTGTCCCAAGAGGTATGGGGTCTGACCTGTGTTTTCCAAATTATATTGGGCCTCCTTCTTTTCCTCCCCGTCGTCGCTCTCCTCTGCGACAGGCTCTCCTGCTGTTGCTGCTCGAGCTGCTGCTGTTGCTAAAGCCCATGCCCCTGGACCTGCTGCCGCTGATACTGCTAGCGCTGCGCTGGACGCCTTCATATAGCCATCAAGGACACAGCGTCTTCTGAAGCAATGAGCAGCAGCACATGCACTCTGACAATTGGCGTTCGTGGGCGGTAGTCCACAGGCATGCCCTAATGAGTCAGTTGCAACGCTGGCATCAGCGCGTGTGAGAAGAGCGGGATGTGGCAGCAGGCGTTGTCGCTGTTCGGCGACATGTCGGAGTCGGGATTGGAGCCAGACGTCATCAGCTACAGTGCCGGAATCAGCGCGTGCGAGAAAGGCGGGACATGGAGGAGAGCGCTGCAGCTGCTCCGCGAGCTGCGAGAGGCGAGGCTGGAGCCCAACGTCATCAGCTACAATGCTGCAGTCAGCGCGTGCGAGAAGGGTGGGCAACTGCAGCAGGCACTGTCGCTGCTCCGCGAGTTGCGCGAGGCGAGGCTGGAGCCGAGTGTCATCAGTTACACGGCCGGGATCAGCGCATGCGAGAAGGGCGAACATTGGCAATTGGCTTTGTCGTTGCTCAACGAAATGTCGGATGCGAAATTGCAGCCCAATGTCATCAGTTACACGGCCGGCATCAGCGCGTGCGATCGATGCGGGCAGTGGCAGCACGCGCTGACGCTTTTCGGCAAATTGCTGGAGGAGGGAATGCAGCCAGATGCAGCCTGCTACAACGTCGGAATCAATGCGTTCAGGGAGGGCAGTCAGTGGTTTCGAGCTTTGTCGCTGCTAAGCCAGCTGAGGGACGCGAGACTGGAGCCCGACGTCATCAGCTACAGCTCCGTGATGAGCGCGTGCGAGGGAGGCCTGCAGTGGCTGCAGGCGGTGTCCCTGCTCGCAGACCTGCGGGAGGCGGCGCTGGAGCCAGACGTGGCCAGCTACAACGCCGCCATCGGCGCGTGCGAGGAGTGCGGGCACTGGGAGCACGCGCTGTCGCTGCTCGTGGGGCTGCGTGAGGCGGGGCTGGAGCCAGACGCCGTTAGCTGCACGCTCGAGGTCTGCGTCTGCAGGATGAGTCGGCAGTGGCAGCGGGCGTTCTCTCTGCTCGGCGAACTGCGGGGCGCACGGGCGGAGCCCAGCGTGATCAGCTACGGCGCCGGGATCAGCGCGTGTCAGGACGTCGGCCTCTGGCAGCAGGCGCTGTCGCTGCTCCGTGAGCTCATCTTGGCGGCGTCGGAGCCGAGCGTCATCTATGCTAATGGAGGATGACGATTAATAAATGACCGGGGGTCGTGTCCACGCGGCGGCGCCCGAGATGACGATTAGAAAAAACCAGCCGCGGGCTGGAACACTTTTTTTTATCGTTCTCCTCCAGTCAGAAAGCTGTGCATACATCGCAGGAAACTTGTTTTTTTCATCGTTCTCTCCCATTTTTTATGAATCGTCATCCCGCATTACGGTACCCGGCAGAGCCTGGCTCAGCGCGTGCCAGGTGGGTCCACTGAAGTTAGCGGCGCCCGCTGGGCTTGCGGCGGCGGCGCCTCCGCGGGCTCCGCGCTTGGAGCGCCGACGTCGTGCCCCCGAGAGGGCCCCGCGAGTGGCCCGGGAGGCCCCCAGAGCGCCCGTCCGCAGGTGCAGGAGGGTTCCCAGGCGGCCAAAAGAAGGCCCCCACCAGTTTCCCACAAGGCGCCCATGTGGCCTCCGAGAGGGCCACGAATGCGACGGCCTATCGATCTTCTCCGGTATTTCGAACACTCCCCCTCACGATCTCTTTTACTGCCCAAAGAAACCCAACCCACCCCGAATCGTCCTCAGGGCGCCCAGGGAGTCCCCAAGAGAGCACCTACGGCGGCCCCAGAGGCCCTCAAGACGTCTCCGGGGACCCTCAAGACTGTCGAACAGCCCCCCAGGACGGCCCCAAGGAAGGCCCAACAGGGTCAACTCTGGAGCGGTCCCCCCCGTCCCGCGCTCCCCCACGGCCAGCAATTCCGCAGAGGCTCCCATAAAGCTTCCCGCAGCTCCTTCGAAACGGCCCTGACAAGCTCCTAGATGGTCCCAGTTGACTGGAACAAACTTCACCCCATAAGCTCCTGGTACTCCTCCAGCAGCTTCGTCCAAATGGCTCCGATTGGCTTCCAGGAAGCACCAGATGATTCGAGAAAGCCACGCCCCACACCTCTTGGGACACCTCATGCGCGGGAAGGGCTGCAGAAAATAGCTGTCCGATCCAGCTCTGCGGACGCGCAGGAACGCTGTTCCTGCGACCCCTCCCGAGCGTGTCCCAAGAGGTCTGGGCTTTCTCGAGTGGGAGATCGACTACAGAATTCATTTACCCTAGAATTGATTATTCAGTCGAACCTACGACAATGCGAAGATTGTTCCGTAGATCTACTAGCTTTCTACGTCTGCATAGTGGATCCGACGAGAAACCGAATGTTGGGGTAAACCAATTATGTAGTTGATCCTCTACTCGATCTTCAGCATTGTATTTCTCCTCCCCATCGTCGCTCTCCTCTCCCATGGGCGCCCCTGCCAGCGCAGTCGGAACCTCACGATGTCCAGGAGGGAGGAAGGGAGGACGAGGAGGAGGAGGAGGAGGAGGAGGAGCAGATGGAGGAGAGAAGCAGCAGGGGGAGGAGCTGCAGGAGGAGACGGAGGACGAGGACGGGCTAAGCATGACGGCGAGGAGGAGGAGAAGGATAAGTAGAAGGAGAAGACGGATAACGAGGACGAGCCAAGCAGGAGAGGGAGGAGAGGGAGGACGAGGAGGAGAAGGAGAAGGAGATGGAGCTGCTGCTGTTGCTGATACCCGTGCCACTGGAGGTGCTGCCGCCGGTCATGCCAGCGCTGCTCTGGACGCGGCCGGAACCGTCAAGGCAGCAGCGCGCCCCGAAGCAGCGAGCAGCAGCAAGCGCACTCCGACCACCTGGCACTCGTGGACGGTGCCCACGGGCCAGCCCTCGCCCGTACCACAGTTCTGGCCGCAGCGCGTGCGCGCAGGGCTTCTCGCCGACCACCTGCCCCAGGGGGCCCCGAGAGAGCCCGCGGGCCGCGCGGAAGGCACGGCCCCAGAGCGCGCAAGCTCGCCCCGGGGGCGCCGCCGGGACGCTCCCCGACGGCTCCGGGAGGCCCCGAAAGGCCGCTCGCCGACGGCTCCGCAGGGCCCCCAGCGCGGCTCCACAAGGCCCCCAGCGCGGCCCAAGACGGCCTCCCGGAGCAGCCTCCAGGACGCTCCCCGACGGCCCCAGAAGGTCTCCAGGCCCTTCGCCGACGACTCCACGACCCTCAGATCGCCCCAAGACGATGTCCCGCAAGCCTCGTACCGAGCCCCATGCCCCACAAGAAGCCCTGATGACTCCTCCAGAGGGCCCCATGGGCCGCTCACCGACGGCTCCGTCGCCCCCAGCTCGGCCCAAGACGGCCTCCCAGAGAGCAACGACCCCCAGATCGCCCCAAGACGGCTTCACGCAAGTCCCAAGCCAAGCTCCATACCCCATAACGAGCCCCCGACACTTCCACAAGGCCCCTGGGCCGCTCGCTGACGGCTCCCTCGTCCGCAGCTCGGCCCAGGACGGCCTCCCAGAGAGCCTTCAGCACGCTCCCCGACGGCCGCAGGAGCTCCCTGGGCCGCTCGCCGACGGCTCCACGGCACCCGCATCGTCCCCAAACGGCTCCCTGCAAGCCCCAAACTTAGCCCCATGCACCACTTCGAGCCCCCGACACCTCCATAAGGCCCCTGGGCCGCTCGCCGATGGCTCCCTCGGCCCAAGACGGCCTTCCAGAGAGCGTCCAGCACGCACCCCGACGGCTCCAGAAGCCCCCTGGGCGCTCGCCGACGGCTCCACAACACCCGCGTCGCCCCCAGACGGTTTCCCGCAGGCCTCAAACTGAGCCCCATACCCCACTTCGAGACGTCTCGCCCTCCGACGACGACGGCCTCACAGATAGCCTCCAGGACGCCCCCCATCGGCTCCAGAAGGACCTTTCCATGACGCCAGAAGTTTCTCAATCCCACCCCATCTTCAGTACGGCTCTCCTCCTCCTCCTCCTCCGCCTTCTCCTGCAAGAGGCTGCATGAGACTGGACTGCGGAACGCCTTCGATGCCACAAGAATCTTCCAGGGACCACTCCGCGATAGCCCAGACCCTCCCAAGACACTCGAAGACAGTCACGGGCCGCGGAGCCTGGAGCCTGCAGCAAACAGGGGAGCAAACCCGCAGGCGTCGGCGACACATGCGCTGTCGGGACCAATACCTTGACCTGCCAGCCATGGAGCTTCCATGGGTTCACACTAGTCTGCTACAACGCTGCAGTCAGCGCGTGCGAAAATGGTAGGCAGTGGAAGCAGGCGCTTGCGTTGCTCAGCGAGCTGCGGGAACGGTTGTTGGAGCCCACTGTGAATAGTTTTTCCGCGGGCATCAGCGCGTGCGAGAAAGGACGGCAATGGCAGTTTGCGCTATTATTGCTCAGGGAGTCAGTGGAGGAGAGATTAGCACCGGGCGTTATCGGCTACAACGCTGCCATCAGCGCTTGCGACGGCTGCGGGCAGTGGCAGCAGGTTGTGGCGCTGATCGGCGAAATGCGCGAGGTTGCTTTAGAGCCAGATAGCACGGGCTGCAGCGCCGGAATCTTTGCATGCGAGAGAGACGGGCATTGGCAGCAGGCTTCATCGTTGCTTGGCGATCTGACGAACGGCAAAGTTTGGGGAACCGAGCGCCTAGTCGGAATGTGAAGCGGGCGCGCTTGTGCGCGCGTGTGTGTGTGTGTGTGTGTGTGTGCGTGTGCGCGCGTGTGTGTGTGTGTGCGTGTGTGTGTGTGTGTGTGTGTGTGTTCGGAAAGGGAGGAAGCAGCTTGAGCCGGACACCATCGGTCATGCAGTTGTTGTCAGTGTAGGTTTGAAACACTTTCTCGAGCACTTCTGCTCGAGCGGCGTTCAGCAGCACGGTGTCTCTGCGTAGGAGCCCCGTGTATCTGCGCAAGGCGGCCTGCTCGATTGGCATTTGGCAGCGCGGTGTCTCTGCATGTGAGCTCCTCTTCGCCCCTTCGCAAGAAGTGGGGTTTCGTGGACACGTTCGGCCTTCATGCTCTCGCATGCGTGGAGGTGTGTGCACGTCGGCACCATACCCGCCATCATCACTGCTCTCTCGAGTTCCCCACTGCTTCCCTTCCCGTTCTCTTTTCCGTGGCCCTTCCCACTTCTCCGCGCCACCCCTCGCTCCGCTGCGCTCTCGTCCCCTTCCTCCACCTTCTACCCTCCCCCCTCTCACTCCCGGCCCCCTTTACAATTACACAATATGAAAATACTCTCCCGCTTCCCCTGATGGCGTCCCGAAGATATCCGACACCCCCCCGCGTATTGTTTGTTTACACACAGGATTCCCGGGAAACGGGTTTTCGCTTGTGTTTGTTTTCAAAATGCTGCTCTCGCCGAGGCGCCGGCCTCATTTTCGGGCCCCGCTCGTTCCGAATCGTGCTCCCGCTGCAGCGCTGGCCTCATTTCCGTGCTTCCGCTCGTTCCGAATCGTGCTCCCGCTGCAGCGCTGGCCTCATTTCCGCGCTTCCGCCCGTTTCGACTCGTGCTCCCGCTGCAGCTCTGGCGTCATTTCCCGTGCCATGCCACAGCACACGCGCACACACGCACACACACACACCACCACCACCACCACCACCACCACCACCACCACCACCACCACCACCACCACCACCAACACCACCAGCACCACCAGCAACACCACCACCACCACCACCACCACCACCACCACAACCACCACCAGCACCAGCACCACCACCACCACCACCACCACCACCACCACCACCACCACCACCACCACAACCACGCACACACGCACGCACGCACGCACGCGCACCACCACTCACTAGTCCGCGGATAGAAAAAAATCAGCGCCATGGTAAGGGATGGGAGGGAGGGGTAGGACGTCAGATATGACGCGCGCGCACCTAGCTTGTCGTCCCCCTCTCCCTCTCTCCCGTCCCCCTCCCGCCCTGCCACACCAGTTTCCTTCACCGCGTTGTGCCTCTCTGCCGAGAGGAGAAGGAGGAGAAGGAGAAGGAGGAGGAGGAGGAGGAGGAGGAGGAGGAGGAGGAGGAGGAGAGGGCGGGAGTTTGCCTCCTTCTCCCGTCGCCGCTGCGCCGCACTCCTGAGAGGGGAGATGAGGGCAAATGTGGATGCAGAAGGCCTCAGTCGAATGCACAATCGGGTCCTGAGAACAACCGTATCCCGAGGTAGGGCGGGAGGAGGAGGAGAAGGAGGGGGGTAGGATTAAGTCGGGCATGTCACCCCACAGGGGGATTTTCGACGAAAAATAAAAAGTACCCTAAAATGGTCAAACAACAGTCCAAAAATAGTCAGGGGACTTATTTTTTGACCTTCTTGGGATATTTTTGGGGTATTCTTGTTTTTTCATCAAAAATCCCCCTGTAGGGGGACAGGCCCGACTCAAGGGTAGGAATGGAGGAAGAACGATCCCCTAACGACCTTCCCGCGACTGCATCGGAAGCCTCGTTGGCGCGCGCGGCTGACCCCCGGCGCGCGCGATGTGTCGACTGCGCGTGTCTTGGCAACAGCTCCCGCAGTCCGTGCTGGCCGCAGCTCTGGCCCCGAGGAGCTGGGCCGTCTGCAGTCGCGCGCAGGTGGGGCCTCGGCGCGCGTGCACCCACATTCGTGCCGTCTTTGTATTATTCTCTCTCTCTCTCTCTTGTTCTCTCTCTCGCTCTCGTCCCCTCCCTCTCTCTCTCTCTCTCGCTTCATTTCGTGTGTTCCCTCTCTCGTCCCCTCTCTCCCTCTCGCCCCTGCTCTCGCCTGTTTCACGTCTCCCTGTTTGCGCTTCCGAGAAAAAGGCTCTGCGCATTCCTCACGGAGTTGTTTGGTGCTTTGTCGTTTGCGCGTCTTTTTGTTGCTCCCTCTCTCTCTCTCTCTCTCTCTCTCTCTCTCTCTCTTTCTATACATATATATATATATATGAAAGAGCGTGTTCTACCGCTGCTGGCGGAAAACCGGGGGGGGTCACTACCGGTTCGAACCCCTCCCCCCCCCCCCTCCGGAAAACCGGGGGGGGTCACTACCGGTTCGAACCCCTCCCCCCCCCCCAAGCTCATCATGAAAAGGGGGGGGGGTCACTACCGGTTCGAACCCCCCCCCCCCCCTCGAAAACCGAGTGGGGGTGCGGACAGTGGTGGGGACGGTGTTGGTGGGGACAGTGGTGAGGGGACAGCGGGACAGTGGTGGGGACAGTGGGACAGTGGGACAGTGGTGGGGACGGTAGTGGTGGGGACAGTGGTGGGGACAATGGTGGGAACAGGGGGGACAGTGGACAGTGGTGGGAACGGTGGTGGTGGGGACAGTGGTGTGGGGACAGTGGGAATGAGGTGGAAACAGTGGGACAGTGGAGGGTACAATGGTGGTGGAGACACTGGTAAAGGCGGTGGCGAGGACGGCGGTGGGACAATGGGACAGAGGTACAGTGGGGACAGTGGTGGGGACAGTGGGGACAGTGGTGGAAACAGTGGGACAGCTCAGTGGGACAGGTGGGGACGGAGTACAAGTGGGAACAGTGGGGACACTGGTGGGGACAGTAGGGACAGTGGTTGGGTCCGTGGAGACAGTGGGGAGAGGTGGAGGACCAGTGGGGACAGTGGTGGAGTGGGACAGCTCAGTCGGAGGAGTCAGTGGGACAGTGGGGACGGGGGCAGTGGTTGGGTCCGTGGAGACAGTGGGGAGAGTGGAACCGTGGTGGGAACAGTTCTGGGGACAGCGGGGACAGTGCGACAGTGGTGGGGGCACTGGTGGGGACAGTAGGGGCGGTGGTGGAACCAGTGGGGACAGCGGTGGTGAGGACAGTGGTGCTGGGAACACCAGTGGGGGATGTGATGCGGACGGTGGTGGGGACCGGGAGTCGTTTGCTGGCGGTGAGTAGGGGGGGGGGGGGGGGGGGGGGGGGGGGGGGTCGAACCGGTAGTGACCCCCCCGGTTTTCCGGATCCGGAGGGGGGGGGGGGGGGGGGTTCGAACCGGTAGTGACCCCCGGTTTTCGAGCGGGGGGGGGGGGGGGGGGGGGAGGTGTTAGGGGAGGGGGGGGTTTTGCCGGGAGGGAGGGGGGGGGGGAGGGGGGGGAGGGGTTCCGGCAGGGGGGGGATTTTCGGAGGGGGGGGGGGGGGGGACACCCGGGTTCCGGAGGAAAAGGTTGGCAATTTTCCACAGTAAAGCGGCGGTGGATCACGCTCTCTCTCATATATATATATATGTGTGTGTATAAATATATGTATGTGTGTATTCCTCTCCCTATATTTTGATAAGCCTGGGCGGGGGACCCCACCCCCCCAAAACCGGAATCCCGGGATCTGGGGCTTTGGGACCCTCCAGACGGGCCTCGAAGCGGCCCCCCGAGCCTCGCAGGGCGTTTTGCCAAGCCTTCCCAGCACACCTAGGGCGATCAGGGGGGTCATTGGAGACGTCCCAGAGACCCCCAAGACAGCACAAGAGCGCTCCAAGAGTGACCGACGTGACATCAAGATGGCCCAAGAGGCCTCCAGGACGGCCCCAAAGGCTTCAAAAAGCCCTCAAGAGCACTCCCAAGAGGGCCCCAAGTTGGTGAATTTTGGGGTTCTCCTTTTTTTCGGGTTCCCGACGCTCAGATACGGCAGTCTTCTGGGCGTCCGAAGCCGCCTGGGAGGCTCCCAAATCGCCCCAGAACCATCCGAAAGGGCTTCCAGGCAGTCTAAGAGAGACCCAAAACGGCACAACAGGGGTCAAAGATGGCCCTAAGAGAGCCCCATGGCGGCCCAAGACTGTCCCAAGACACCCTCAGAAGCATTCCAAATCGTGACCCGGTCGTTCAGGGAAACCGCGGTTGGAGGCAGGGTGGCCGGAGGAAGCCCCATAACCTCCAGAACACGCCCAGAAGGCCTCCAGAAGGCCTTTAGAAAGCCTGAAACGTTTGCGAGGCCCCCAGAGGCTCGCCATCCAAGGAGGGGCCTCCGCAAACAAAGCTGAGGATGATGGGGAAAATGCGCGGGGTATGGCGAGAACGAGGCAAAATAAGCATGGAGGAAGGATAACGAATAACATAATTTTTGCGGCGATGCTGGAAAAGGCAACAAGGAGTTATCGCTAAATTGTCGGCTTGACCTTCCTGCCATTTCGCCTGCATACCAAACTTCAAGGACCAAGGTGCATGGCGCGAAGCGCCACTGCCTTCTCTTTATATATATAGATATGTATAGATATCATGTGTTCTCCCTCTCTCTCGCATTATCGTTTGATTTCTGTGTCTCTCTCTATCTCTCACTCTCTTGTTCGCTCGTTTAAGTGATCCTCTCTCTCTCTCTCTTGCTCTCTCTCTCTCTCTATCTCTCTTTCTCTTTGTTTCTCCCAGTATGCATCTGCATACATTTTTATAGATCTGTGACCCTGTGACTCCTCCACTCCTCCTCCTCCTCCACCACCAGCTCCTCCTCCTCCTCCTCCTCCTCGACACCCCCCGGAGGCAAGAAGAGCCGAGAAGGCCAAGAAGGATGAGGAACGACAGGTTCGGAAGGCGCCGCCCTCGGCCCGGCAGCGGGGAGGGTAGGGGGGAGGAGGGGAGAGGAGGAGGGAGGAGGGGAGAGGAGGGGGGAGGAGGGGAGAGGAGGAGGGAGGAGGGGAGATGAGGGGGGAGGAGGGGAGAGGAGGAGGAGGAGGAGGAGGGGAGTATCAGGAGCAGGAGGAGGCGGAGGAAGATCTAGGCCCTCCAGAAGGGGTCACAGTTGATGGGGTCGGAGGATCACACCGCATCGCCGATGTATCGGCGATGCGACTCGAGCTGGAGCCCGATTTTCTCCACGCAGACGTCGCCGATGCATCGCCGACGTCGCCGATGCATCGACGATGCTGAGCGATGCTCTGACACCGCCTACCCTGACCCCATCAAGGATGCTTCTAAAAGGGGAGTGACACGACAGGGGAAGCAGAAGGAAAGCACGAAAAGGAGAAGTGAAGCCGTCGTACACAACCATGATGCTGGCAGGAGAGAGAGAAGGAGAAGGAAAACGAGAAGGAGAAACAGAGGGGGAGTGCGCGGATACGTGTGACGGGCGGGCGGAGTGCCCAGGCAACGCAGCCACATGTGTGGCAGTCGTGGGCCTGCCCTCCC